CAGGATCAGCACATCTGGCAGGCCGCTCCACTTTCTCTTTAATATGCACAGGAACCCGCATGGATTGGGTGTAAAAACTAAAATGAATAATTGATGCGGCGTGGTGCCACAAAGCACTTTCTTTTAGTTAATTGGATTTAAAGAGAGCGCGAGAGTGGGGAGAGCGGGGATAAAATATTATCATGCAGCCTGTGTGCAGTGAAATGGTCTGAGAGGTAGACTAATAGCATCCTCCCTTCCAACCCCTCTCATTAATCCATGCTGGCCAACTTGTTACATGCTGAAAGGTTGACATGTAAAAGGGGTAACACAGACCCATCAGGGGGTTCGGAGACGAGGGCGACATTGAAGGAGACTGTTTCCTTCACCAGTGACCTTGTTCGCATCGCACATGCATCCAATTTACACAAGCTTATGACTAATTGAGGCTTTATCTCTCTACATGCATTCGCTGTCTGCAGGAGACTTTTGCGGCTTATTGCATGACCCCTGCGAGTATTAGTCTTTAGAACTAGCGCTGCATCAAAGCACTTAGTTGCAATGTCTGGGAATTAACTTTGTTAAGAGAAAAAAACAACAAAAAACACAGCAGCCTGTAGAGGGCTGTCCACAGTTACCACTGCCTGAACATGGTCCTGCGTGGAATAATGAGCGCCACAAAAGGGAGAAAGGGGGCTGCAGGAGGGAGGAGCGAAAGGCAGAGTCAGGGGAGTGATGGAGAATGCCAGGAAGAAGACAGGGAGGAGAGGGAATTGCACAGAAAAACAGGCCTGCTGGCCCTCTCGTCTCCTGCCACACTTACAGAGGTGAAGAGCAGCACATGGATCCCCGACACCGCCGCACTGCCAGGCTGTACAAATAAAAATCCCAACAGGCTGGAGATAAGAATTTGCTGTCAAGCTCTGGGCCAAGATGGTTTCCACAACATATTGGCTGCTAAGGAAGGATGCTACATCTGTTCCTTATATATAAAATCTAAAACAAGTGCTGTAGGATGTGGTGTGTTACCCCCTGAGAAAGCCACCCCTCTCATTAGCACAGTATAACAGCCTCACATTCACTGTAATCTTGTAATCGCAACCACATTGCCATATTCTCCTCTCCAAGCTGTGCTAAAAACACAATTTGGATTGTCTATGAACAGACAACAGGAATGTTTATTACACACAACAGTCCTTAAAGCTTTCATCTTTGACAATAGAAGTAAATCAAGCTCCACGTTTGTTTCTGTCCATCCTTCCACTGTGAGAAGACAGCTCAAATGTTATGGGTCTGAAAGGATGCACAGCTGTCAAAAAGCCTTTACTTAAAAAAAGGAAATTTTGCAAATCAAATGAAGAAGCTGCTGGTGTTCTCAGAACATGTGATCGACCACCTCAAAGTCCAGACTTCAACTTCATTGAATGTGATTGGGATTACTCGCAATGTGAGAAGCAGAAAATGCAATGAACTAAACTTGGAAGGTGGAAAAATATCCCTGCAGATTTCTTTGAAAAACTGAAAACGTCCACCAAAAAAGAGCTGTAATAAAGGCAAAGTGTGGACACTCTAAATACTACAAAATTACAACCCCATTTTCAAAAAAGTTGGGATGCTGTGCAAAATGTAAATAAAAACAAATGCAATGGTGTGCAAATCATTTAAACCCTATATTTAATTGAAAATACTACAAAGACAACATATCAAATGTTGAAACTGAGAAATTTTATTCTGTTTTGAAAAATATTTGTCCATGTTGAATTTGATGTTAACAACATGTTCCAAAAACGTTGGTACAGGGCAACAAAACGCTGGTGAAGATGTGTAATGCTCAAAACACCTGCTGGTTGATTGGCGACAGGTCAGTAAGATATAAAAGGAGCATCTCAGAGAGGCTGAGTCTTTCAGAAGTAAAGATGGGGAGAGGTTCACCACTGTAAAAAACTGCATGATCAAGTTTCTCAATGTAAAATAGCAAAGAACATTTGCTTTTTATCATCTACAGTACATAATAACATTAAAAGATTCAGAGAATCTGGAGAAATCTCTGTATGCAAGGGACAAGACCAAAAAAAATTGCTGGTTGTGATCTTTGACAACACTGCATTAAAAACAGACACGATTCTGTAGTGGAAATCAGTGCCTGGGCTCAGAAACACTTCTGAAAACCACTGTCTGTGAAAATCACTGCATCCACAAATACAAGCTAAAACTCTAAAACGCAAAGAAACCATATATAAACAAGATTCTGCCACCTTCTCTGGGCCTGAGCTCATTTAAAATGGACTGAGGGATGGTACAGGGGTGTATTAGTGCACATGGCATGGGTGACGTTCACATCTTAATGCTGAACAATATATACATGTTTTGGCGACATATGCTGCCATCCAGATGATGTCTTTTTCAAGGAAGGCCTTGTTTATTTTAGCAAGACAATGTCAAACCACATTCTGCATGTATTACAACAACATTGCTCCGTATTAAAAGAGTCCGGGAGCTAAACTGGCCTGCCTGCGGTCCAGACCTGTCACCCACTGAAAACATTTGGAGGGTTTTGAAATGAAAAATACAACAAAGGAGACCCTGAACTGTTGAGCAGCTAAAATCCTGTATCAAACAAGAACGGGAAAACATTTCACTTTCAAAACTACAGCAGTTGGTCTTCTCAGTTCCCAAACGCTTATAGAGTGTTGTTAAAAGATGTGATGCAGCACAGTGGCAAAAATGAATAATTTGCTGTTTTGACTGGAAATGAATAGAAATGAAGTAGTCTGTGACTTTTGCTCAGTACTGTGTATAGAATCACAACTCAAGGGAGTATTTGGATGCTTAAATTGTTCTTTGCTCTTTACGATGCAAAATGTGATGTCTAGTTCTTTAAAGAATATCATGAAAAATTAGAGAAACCAAAAATGGTTTCTCAGTTGTTAATCTTTTTGTATCCTTACTGTCAGAATAAAACTGTTTAAGATGTTATGTATTCTTTACATACTTTTTCTTTTACTAAAATTTGAAAATGCCAGCTGCCTTTTACATTATGTGAATGGAGAAATAAAATTACTAGAAAATTGCTTTTTACATTAACTTCCATTATAATGCAGGAATGTTCTTTCCTTCTTCTGTTAACTTACCGTTTTCGGAGATATGAAGTTTTGCTCCAATAGTAACAGTACACTTGTCGAACACAGAAGGTATGTATAAGCAAATAACAATGAGACAGTCAAGTCCACAAAAGCACATTGCACTTTTTTTTTCCATTTTTGAGTTCATAAACCATGACACATTGGGATCGTTTGTGAGTGAGTAAGGGAGAAAGTGAGAGAGAGAGAGAAAATCAAGCAGGGGATTCCAAAAGCTGCAGTGAAAGAGGACATATTACTCTGAAACGCCAATGCTGCAGCACGAAGCTGCTCCTTTGATCTATTCTAAACTGTATTCATAGCCTCACAGGCCTTAGACAGTTGCTGAGCTTTATGCATGTGTTCATGATCTTAAAAAGCAGAGATGGTAAGGGGATGTTTGTCTTCAGGGGATGCAAATGGAAAGGAAAAGCTGACATCACCCTCTTACGCAAGGCCAGGATTTCAGGATGTCGGGAACAATAATCACCATGCGAACAGAGCGTATATGCAGGTGGGCCCATGCATGATATCGGTATCTGAGATGACGGCGATTTGTAGGGGATGAAGGTGGAGGAGAGAACAGCAGCAAAGTCATGCAGAAAGAGCAAATCCAGGGCTGGGAAAAGAAGTGGAACTTCTGAACCAGTGAAACAGCACAACCCAGGATTATCACGGATGATGGGATAAAGAGGTATGTTTGAGGATGGTTTAAGAGAAAGCTAGCTGCGCTTTGACCTTACAGGAGGTGGAAAAAAAACAACAACAGAGCCATCAGTGATCCTATTTACATCTTTCCCGAAAAAATATCTTCCTAGTATTTTCAAAACAACAGATGTCTCTTGCACTGTTGCTATAGATCGGTACAGATGTCACATAAATTTCCCCCTCATAATAGCATAGGCCTGTTTGCTGTGGTGGAGGTAAAAATCTCTCCACTAGATGCATTTTATTTCAGCACTCCGCACATATCTCAACATCTGGATGTCTAGGTCTGCACCGACACAATGGACACTTATTTATTTTTTTATTTTTTCCCCCCTACGACCACACGCATTATGTTGCGCAACAGCTGTTGCACTCAACTTAGATTACCCTACAGCTAGAGAACTTTTTTATTGCCTTATTTAATGTATTATCATTAATACCCCTCTGAAACATATGAAGGCATCCGTTTTCAGTTTTATGAGGTTTATAGTCTTTGGCACGGACGGATATCACGCAGAGAGCAAATGCGCCTGCACCGCTGAGATATACAGTATCGGGAGATGTTGTGGAGCTGGGAATGATTATTTTGTCTGGAGTGAGGCATTGAGAGTATTTATCTATCAAAAGGCTCAATATAGCTTCCTCCGCCCGCTCACCTGATAGAATGATGGGCACAATAACTGTGAACTCCAGCTGTGGGAACTTTTTCCTCCCCGTTACGTTTTTTATTACCCAGCTATAAAGCACAGGGATGAAACCCTGGCACCAGGGTTCAGTGGTCTTGCTCACATCAGGGTTAAAACAGGAGGTATCCTTCATTGACTGGGATATAATTAAACCAAAAGGGGGCGGAATCAATGCTGCATCCCCCTAGAAAGCTCCAGCAGATCAACAACACAGGAAGGCATGCTGGGCTGTTTCTTCAGCGAGCGTGGGCCTCATTAAACCCACTCCATCAAGATCATCTCATTACTTTGCATTATACCCCAAAGATCATTGGGATTTCATGAGTTTTGGATCAAAGGTTTCCCTCAGTGGAAATAAACAGCACTGTAAACATGAACACATCAATTTGTGTATATGTTTTCTGGACAAATGACAAAATATTATCTATAAACATAATCACAGGCATTTGAAACATTCTACAAAACAGCTTGTCCACTCTGAAAGCATTGAAGCATAACTACAGACACGGACTTTCCAAACACATTTATTGGGCCGATAACATTAAACAAACACAGTGTATGACCATTGTAAACAATAAAACAGAAAAAAGGCATCAGCTCTGCTCCAGAAATTCAAAGTGCGCCAAGCGTAAAATATTCAACTTTTTTTTTTCCATTTATTTTTCCCCTCTGATATATTTTTTAAATGTTTATTTGTATCTTTACATATTAATCTTCAGCATGAATAATTCTATTTACAAGCCAGGACACGCATTGTCGTACAGACGACGCACATTCTTCTTTAACATGATTTTCATCTTTCAAAGTCGACACAGAGCGGCTGCCGTTCCACCGTCCTCTCCGCTGTGCCCCAGAATTATGATAGACAATGCAATTATGAATCAAGGATGTTTCCATTCTGCAACGTTGGCTCACTGTCCGTCCCCTTTTGCACGCTTCGAATAAGGTATCCATATATACAAAGGCTAAAAAGTCATCTTTAGTTCCATTTTGTGAAGCGACTATGAAATAAATGTTTCAAACTTTGTATGTTTTTCACTTTTTTTTTTTCTTTCCACCAAAAAAAGGTAAGTATCAAAACATTTGTATAGTTATATTTGTACTTCACTGGTTTTGAGTTGATGTATGAAACTGAGTCTCTTTGCCAACAGTGCAAAGTCTCTTATCGCTGAGGTTTCTTTTTTCTTCTTATGTATTTTTTTTTTCTTTACAATGTCATGACTTAATCTGGCAGGACAAATGTGATGCAGTCTCGAGTCTTTCCTGGTCCTCCGATGTCTTTCTCCATTCCTTTCCCTATATGTCTTATATTTGGGTTTATCCATGAAAGGGATCTATTTCAGCAGCCATTCATTCACTGCATTGGAGAAAAGGAATGTTATTACAAAGATATGACTGAAAAAAAACATAGAGGATCTGGCATTTCTTAAGAATGTTTACATGTTTATGCAACTGAATGTGAGGGAATGAAGTCATCAAATCAGGGAAAAATCCATCCATAACTCAGAAATAAGCTTCATTTCCAAAACTGCACTACATTTGCTTCCAACACACTCAACATCACCTCCAGCTAAACATTAACATTCAGTTAGCCTGAAGACATCTCACTGTGTTAGTTTTACAAAATCATACATTCATTCTGTCTCAGAACCTCAGTTGCATAACCAAGTCTAATTAGACGTATTTTCTATTTCCTTCACTGTCAAGATATTTACATCTTTAAACAACAAATGCAATTAAAGAGGAAATCTTTCTTGTTTACTCTCAGGGGTGGAGGGTTCAACCTCTCGAACGAAACACAATTAGAATTTCATCAAAGAGCTCAAGCAAATTGAGTACAATGAAATCCTGTGATCATAGTACAACAGATAATAGGAGTTACTTTTGGCACTCAGTGTATTACTTCAGGGGGTGAAATGCAATTTTAATTTTCTTTTGCTGAAGGTATTTTGGCTGTGGAAGGGGGTAAACAGACCGCAGACAACTTGTGGGGAAGCAAAGGACTCTCCAGGCAAACAGGTACATAACTGAGACCTCTCAATGCTCACGCAAGCTCTGAAAACGAACGTCTCCTGTTCGAGAGGAGATTATTAGTAATTTTCTGCACACATTCTGATGAATGTGGTTTAAACCCCAAACCTCTCAGAATACTTGTACATTTGAAATGTTAATAGAGGTTTTTGAAGATGCTTGTTTACTGTGTTGATGTCTAGCTGCACATAGCACTACAATCTGTAATGCTGCATTTAAATGTTAGCAATAGGTGGTTGACAGCAACCTGGATATTGCGTTGTTTTCAAAAGAGCAGCATCATGATATTCTGCCACTGCCAGTGTACTGCAGTGGTCAAGAGATTTTGCCGTCACCTTTTGCCATCGCCTGTGGTGGTTAAGTTTTTTTGGGAGCCATGGGCATCAAACATTTCATTGTTGAAATCCAGGCACACCCAGTGTACTACAACAAAAAAAAGAGTACACCCTGATGCTTTTCCCCACCTTAAATAAGCCATCAATATAGCTAAAGCTCTCCTCTGAAAGTCAACCAGTTTCACTGGTAATGCTGTCATCATGGCAATATTTGTATGCTTTATGCAGCCATTGGTTGCCATGAGGCATTGAACAATACATCGCTGAAAAAAGAGGTTCTCTAAAACAGAGAACCTCTTTTCTTGCACTGTGTTTTGGAGAAGGTCTCTAAGAGAGAACAAGGTAATTGTTGATTGTACTACATTTTATATTATACTATGTTTAAGGCTGGTGCAAAGATTCAAAAGGCATGGATTTTAAAGTGTTTCAATCTACACAGTTCTTACTAGATGTACGTCTTGCATCCGTGAAGATGCATACATTTTATTTTTTGCCTGAGCATGAGTGTATTTCTATACTGTTGTGAAGTATGTATAAAATAAAGTAAACTGTGATGTTGGTGTGAAATTTACAGAGCAGCTCCTGTGCTGTACTGACAATGCATGGAGGAAACTCCTCTCTGATACAGTAGGAAAAACTTTTGTTAGTGCAATAAACAGATCTGTTTGTGCCGTCATCAAACATGTTGCGTATCTACGGTGTAACAGCTTCTAACTGCAATTTTTTTTACTGTATGATAATAATAATTTAAAATGCTCCACACGTGTGATTTCTTCCTAAGGAATCTTTGCTCCTTAGCGTCAGTGATTACGTGGAAAGTGGTGCAGTTTGTTGTCCTCTGAGGGGAGTTGATGTGGATGTCTAGAATGAATTTATGACATTCAGCTAAACCATCTAGTATTTTATTTATTGTCATTTTCCTTCATACGATCATATGCAACAATTTGAACACCCATGACCAATGACGTTTTGCTGATTTGCAAACAAACAAGTTCTGAAAATGAGTTATCACATCCTCTACAGTAAGCAAGTTCAGTGAAAAATTTCAATTTTTCTGCTGAGCCTGACATATCAAAAAAAAAAAAAATAATAAAACAAAAATAAAATAAGTCATAACGTCTGGACAGACCACATTTTATGTTTTATTTTTTACAATATGTTAGATTCAGCCAATATATAGTAATGTAAAGTATGCACTGAAATGTACAGAAGGGTGTGTCTCTGCAGAGGATGTATTAACATATTTTCACTTAGAAAATCAACAAAACGTGTAATTTGACCAGCGGCTCCCAAACACTTGCATACAACTGTATCAACAGTAACAATTAGGCTTTTGATGATGAAATTTTTTCTAAGCTAAAAATTTGAAAAAGATGATGCTTCACAAAACTAAACAGAGAAACATACCAGCATAATGAATGAGTATTGTTTATTGTTATATTATATAGAGTGCAGTTTAAACATCTTGATTTCTACATTGTAATTTATAAAGTCATTTTGTATGTGGTCTTGTGTATCTTTTTATTCTTTTTTATGTTCATGTAGACCCCAGGGAGACTAGCTGTAGACTTTAGTATGGCTAACGGGTGTGCAAATAAACCAGTAAACCAGTAAATCACAAGAAGCTCCAAAGACACTGACCTCGGTACTGCAGCTTCTGAGCCCTGTTGTTGGGACAGTCCTTCCCTTGCATGCTGAAGTTGATGTTGGTGCGGATGCAGCGGTTGTTCAGCGGCTGGACCGGACGCACGTTATCGCTCATACTGAGGAAGATCTGCGAGGGCTGATTCTGGCTGAGCAACCGCATGGAATGCATCTACAGGGACAATACAGCAAAACACTGCACACAACTGGACTGGTACATCACTAAACCTGTTAAATGACGACTACAGTACACATGAGCACCACTGTGCTTCCAGATGCCATAGCTTATTAGACAACCATGCAATATATGGCTTATAGGCTTGTATATGTCAGCAAAAGTACTTTATGTGGTACATATGATTGATTTCTGAATGGTGATGAAGCCTGAGTGGGTTTACCTGCATTTTTGTGACATATATAGGCTTGTTCATAAGGATCCAAGTTGCAGTTTCAAAGCATGGAGGGATGGTCATCGATCCTTCATAGGTAATAAAACTTGATGTTTCTGGATACACCTCCTCAATGTTTAGCCCCGACAGTAAATAAGCATCATCTACAAAAAGTGAAAAAAAAGGTAAGAAGGCTACTGACTGGACAGCTGTTATATAAGTGACCTCCATCTTGTTAGGAATAACATGTTTTTGCTTTGATGAACAGATCATTTTTCAATCCTGCATTTTTGCTTGTCAACGTTTTACTCCCCCAGGCTGTGCTTTGGTTGTAGTTTACTGGATGGCTGGTGAATGTTCTTACATTGTTTTGACAAGTTTCACAACACCAGGCCTTCATAAGATAACACAGCATTGTGTTCAAGTGAAACATATTGAACTCTCCTATCCTGACAACAGACATGTAATAGGCTTTGACTTGAGCCAGCCAGAGAAAACAATTCATTACTTTTTCCCCCTATCCCATTGATTACCACTCATTCCAAGCCTATGTAAAAATCCCTGCGTGTTTGTGATTCCAGTGCTGTTATCGCATCGAACTTTGATAGCTTTGGTGGCATAAATAATTCCTTTTGAATGTGGAGGAGGGGGCTGGGCTTGAAAAATGCATGCTAGCTCAGCTGACGGCACGGTGAAGCAGGTTGGAAGGCCTCAGGCGGGGGCAGGCTGCTGGTCTGGGTGGGGGGTTCTGACAGCTGTCAAAGCCCACACTTCTTTGCCATACCCCTGGTAGTGCCGTCGAGACTTCCCTCTGCTTGGCCTGCCCACGTTCACGCACCACTGAGACCCAAGAGGCATGCACCAGCCACCAGGGGTCAGCATACTCCTCTCTTCACCCACACTTTGCCACCCCTATTAATTCAATTATGGGAGCTCTTTTTTCACAGCTCCCTGAGGAGAGCCAAGGCACTATGCCACAGAGATCGTGGGCGTCTGTACAGACTATGAAGTATTCTTAGAAGAACAGCAGTATCTGCTCTGATTTTTTCCTTTTTGAGCTTTATTTCTCATAGAGATACTACTATAATAATGTAGTGCTTTCTCTGTATTTGTTTCAATGAGTGATATTTACAGAAATTACATAAATTACTGCATGTCTGATCAATCCAACTGGCTGACCATAATACAGTCATGCTGGCAAAAATTCTTGTTAGAGAACAACGTAAGGTATAGCTTTATTTCATTCATACTGACCACCAGGGATGCTGTGAAGCACAGTGGATATTTCTTGTGGGTCCTCACACAGGTCGAGATCTTACACAAACAATGTAACACAGTGACACGGTGTGTGACACAGCTAGTCACAGAAACACCCTGTTCATACAGAAGAGATGTTTTTTCTCTTTGTGCACTGACACAGGTCGACAGCTTGGATTGCCTGTACCCTGCCCTGAAACTCAAAGCTCCAGCTGCTGTGTCATGTCCTTGTCCACGTGCTGTGAAAGCAGTCACTTCACCAGAGTAGCCCCAACACTAGGACTGACATTACTAGCTTAGATTGTCCTACTGCTGGTCTTCTCCATACAGCACTCTTGCTAACTGGCTAACTACTAGCTTGGGTTCCTAAAATTGGTTTTCTGATAGCACTTTACAGATTGGTAATACATGAGTAATAATAAGGTAATATTATGGCAACAAGCTGTACTTACAAAAAATTACATACTAAATTTTAGGTTCTTAGTAAATAATAAGTTAGTAATTATAACAGTATTAAGTTGGTAATAAAATGGTGAATTGCATGCAAATTTTCTACTTGTTAATAATAAGTTAACACAGTTAAGATAAACAGGTTATTGAAAGATATTATCTGGTGCGGTGTTTTCTACTCCTGAACTGAGCCTTTTGTCAGATCTGTACTTTGTAACAGAGTAACAGTATTTTGTTAACAGGTAAGACAAAAGGAGCATGTGATGTGTTTTCCAGCCCTGATTCGGTGTAATCTCAATATATATGTACTTCAACCATTCTTGGGTAACAACCCTTGTAGGTGGGCCTACATGTAAAGGTTATCATCCACATTCTTTAGAAGAACTGATGTTTTCACCTGATAAGAGATGCAGTAACTGAGATACAAAATGGAAAATGGTAAGTTTGCTTATTACAGCTCCAATACTATTTAGTTTCACTGTAATTACAGCCTGTAATTATGTCTGTACATCATACTGTGCCGGAAATACAGTAAACAAAGTGTAAGCATTAGTATTTTACAGCACTAGTACCACATCATTTCAGCAGAACTACATCATAGTTTTTGGGGTAACAACCCTAACACTAAACTCAATAAGAACTTAAAATAATTGGACCGATATGTGCATAAAGCAGATATTACGCTATAAGAGCTGAGAGCTGTAATTTTTAGGTTAGTATAACTTCTCACCATTTTATTACCAGCTTCTTAAGATAATTAATAACTTATTATTTAGTAATAACTACAAGATTAGCATGAAATGTTTAGGTTGGTACAACTTGTTTGCCATAATGTTACCATATCATTACCCACTTATTACCATTCTGTAAAGTGTGACTGATTTTCCTACAGTTCAATTAACAGAGCACACATCAAATGATACAGTAAATGGAGGCATGCAAGTCAAGCTGTTGATCCCAAGACTTTAGGAAGCCTGCATATACATAAGCAATAAGTTCTGCCAGAAATACATTTGAAAAAATGGCAAGCCATAATGAAACATCAATGAGAACGCTGGCTTAACATAAACCCAACCAACAATTAAACACCCTTCTATATAAAGTAAAATCCACTAATGACAAGCACAGTTTTTTCCCCAATTAAGACACCATGAATTAACAAGGACAACTGACAAACCAGACAGACAGACAGACAGACAGACAAGACAGCCAAGAAAAATAACACCATCAAAACTCAAAACATCAAACGTCCTAAAAGCATAATGCTACATATGGCTCGAAAATTGTTTAAGGACTGGATGTAGACATTTTTGTAAAAGGATATTGTACCTGACAACAACCTAGCAACATTTCTTTGAGAAGCTGCCTTTTTGTGTTTGGCTTTGAAAATTACTAGAAAATATTCTGTTTGGGTATTAGAACTTGTTTATATATATATCTTTTACCTTTTTTTCCTGAAACTTGAAAATGTCCACAGAAAACACTGACATGCTAAGCAGTGACTGGAGGGCGAAGGAGGGCTAAGATTTCAAAGATTGGCTTTGATTGGCCAAAAAACAATGCCACTCACAGAAAACAAATCAAATTTCAAGATCTTAAAGATTCAGTTTAAATAATATTTCTCCTCATACCTTTCTGGGTACACTCTTAAAATGATTCTTCAAGGGTTCTTCAGTAAAGAAAACATTGATGAAGAATGTGCTGTGGATGATTCTATAGAGAAACATTTTGAAAAGGGTTCTCTATAACACCAAAAAGGGTTCTTCAACTGTTATGATGTCAAGCTTTTAATGATAGAACCACCCTTTTTGACGCTGTATAGAACAATTTTCAAAAAGGTTGTATACAGAACCATCTACAGCACATTCTCCATCAATGTGAAGGAAGCTTTCATGATGCAAAGAACCCTTTAATCATGCAAAGCGTTCTTTGAGTGTTCATGGTTCTACATATAACCATTTATCTCACTTAAAAACCCTTGAAGATCCATCATTTTAAGTGTGTAGGCTTGTAATAACCTGCATGGCATCACTACATGGGTGCATGGAACTCCAGTTATTAACTGTTTCACTGATATGAAATTAATGTTTCTGCTCCAGATGAATATGTATTTGTTTTTGTTCTTTGCAATATATCATCAGTTTATGATTTTCACTTTCATTTTTCAAACCAGTTCGAACTCTGAGATGTGCCTGGCTACAAGCAGTGGCTGATCTTGTATGACAAGCATAACATCAATGCCCCAGAGACTGGCAAGTCTTGCTGGTCTACACCCCAAGAAAACCACATTCTGACTAGCCATGATCCCTGAAGCACAGCAAGTGGTACAAAAACAATAAGAAATCTATGGCTACAAACTGGCAAATAAAGTGAACAATTCATTATTGAGTGTGGAGCAAGGTCTTTACCCACAGATCCTTTGGTTTGCATTTCTTTTCAAGCATAGCAATGTGGGTTTTTTTTTACAAGAGGCTCTTTACATCTTACACACTTTTTGCTGACATGGTTGCTTCCCTTCTTAGCCTCTCGACGAGCTACTCATCTATGTTGCCAGACCAGCAAGGAAGCGGATTCGCTGCTGGGGTGAGATTCTAACTTTGATAGTTCTCCCTATCAAACCTGCCCAGCACACTGAGCCTGGATATGTTGGCACAGAACTGGCTAGAAAAGCTGCTTTACGCCTTTCCTCTATTCCTTCTCATCCTCGAACATGCCACACAGAATTCAGAGCTAGGCCCCGTGATGCACTACAGTTTCCACTTGTAAGAACCACCTGTCTAAGAGAGAGGTCCGAGTGTGGCCCTCATCCACACTGTCTCCTGTTATGGCTATGGCCACTAGATTGAAGCCATATCTTATGGAAAACCTTCTTTGTTAGCTAAACATGAGTATGCTACAGTATCTGTGAGCTTGTGCTACTTGCAGTGGAGTCCAGATGGTTCTGGCATCACGCTATGGCCCAACGCAGTGTTCCTCTCCAAGGTCTTATCCTCTCAATTTGTGAATCAGCATACTGAGCTGGCTTCCTTCACTGACAAGCAGGTCGCTTGTCGCTCCCTGTTGTGCCCAGTCTGGCCCCTGTGGCATTATGTGGTCTTAACTGCCAGCATTCATCAGACAGACCAGCTGTTTGTCTGATTCAGTGGGAATAATAAAGGAGCTTTCACAATGGGTGGTGGAGGTGAACTCTCTGGCCAATAAGTTCATCCAGTAGTGGACATCAGGGATCAATGTCTTGCCACTATAGTCAGAGCATATTATCTTCCTGCGCAGTGTTGAAGGAGGTTTCACTGGTAGAGGACAGTGCTGTGGCGACTTGCCATTTGTTTTGTATGCTCCCTTCGTTCAACAACATGAGTGTCTCCGCTTCAATGTCCCATTCCTCACAGTCTCATAGCCTCAGACGTGTCGGACATGAAGCATTTAATATTTATTAACCATTTGATGAAGTTATCTTCTCTGTGGACTGTGATCAGCAAGAAAAATGTGTGTAGTCCATGGTATCACATGGTTATTCAACAGATTTCTCTGAAGCATTGAGAAGCTGGGAAGTAAAATTTCCTTCTGTGTTTGCTGGCTTCATTTCCCACATGTATGTTTTTGTTGTATCCTTGTTTCGAAAATCAATTACACTGATTTTCAACATTGAATTCCAGATGATCACCTGTGTTTCCAATGACTCAGAATCTACAATAAGATTCCAGGAGGACATTAAATTAGATATGCACTCCAGATGATCACCAGAGATGTCAGTGAATCGAAATCTATAATAAGATTCCTGGAGGACATTAAGTTGGACATCTTCCCATGTTTACTGGTGTATTTTTGTTTCCTATGGGCATATTGTCACTCCAGCCCCATTTTGAAAACCAACTGTTCCTGTATGTCATGCTGAAACAAAGATCTGTGGTTGGTTTCCTGTCAAAGCAGGCAGTTCTTGGTCAAGCTGCAAAAGGCACTTTCTGATGATAGGCAGAAGGCTGGCTTGCAAGACCGCGTTCCTCATGGCTTCCATCCATCTCTGGCGGTCAGTGGAAATAAAACACTAGTTATTAGTGTAACTGTATATTCCAGAAGATTACCAGAATTGTGAGTGACTCAGAGTCTGCAATAAAATTCCTGGAGGACATTAAGTTAGATATCTTTCTACGATTGTTGACTCAAACCACTTTGTTTCCCTAGGGTATGTTTTTGTTGTAGCCACATGCTGAAAATTAACTGCCCTTATACATTATGCTGAAACATTGCATGTCATACCAGTGGTTGGTTATTTTGTACCTGTACTGTTAAAGTAGGTGGTCCTTGGCCATGTTAAGCTGCAAAATGCAACAGAGTCTCTGAAGATAGTCCAAAGTCTTGCAAGATCTCATAACCTTGTTGGTATCCATTGTGCTTCACCCCACTTCTGGTGGTCCGTGGAAATAAAACAACACTTGTAAACGTGCTTCACTGAATTCCAGATCATTATCAGATGCCAGTGATTTAGATTCTGCAAGAAGAATCCTGAAGGACATTTTCCATGAGAGCAGGGTAAATATATTTCTGCCCATCATATCATTGCATGACACAAGGATTATGCACTGTGCTTCACTTCTGATCATCTAAAATTCATAGAACCACAGTTCCATTTGTAACCAGTGTTTTGTCTAGTGGCTCACACTCAAATAGCTTTCACCTCTTATTGCAAGGTCCTCAAAGTACTCATAGTGAAAGACCCATCTTTGGATTTTCCATTACATTTAACACAAGTGAGCCCGCAATGATTTATGTCATTCATAATCTCATTCATCTGGAGGCCTTTCACTTACTCTTGTATGTTATTCTTGTGATGGTATCTCTGTTCAGCATTCGATTCAGAAATGAATTTGAAGTCTCGGATATCTGGAATTAGAAAAAGGAAAAAGGATAGGGGAAAAGGGGAGTGACAGAGATAGAGTGAATGAGAGACTTTGATGTGAGTGTAACAGCATTAGTGATTTACCATAGCACAACACCTGGCATGTTCATTTATTGCTGAGTGAAGTGTTAGCCACGCAAGCTTGCTGACAAGTTCTCAAATGCTGTGCTTGCTTTTAGCTACTGATACTGCCACAGTCATATATCTGAGGAGAGCTGAGAAACAGAGCCATTAATTGATGTCTTACTATCCTCTTTCCTTCACTAATTTGAAAGTCTTAAAGCGCTTTACTGATCAGAACGAAAGGTGCTGCACTGCTACAACTCAGCTTTTCACCTCCTCATTTAGGCAACTGGCCTTTGAGAACTAAAGGCTGGTTTAAAGACGATTCTGCATAATGATGAAGGGTTTCTCATTTTCAGACATAATTACTGTTGGGATGAAATGTAGGTGGGGGGAAAAGTGCAAAGAGAAGCTAAACAGAACTTTCTTTGATACTGTAGGAAATCAGCTCTGGCCTCAAACATGACCTCCTCTAATGGTGCAGCCCCTACTTACATATAAATAACCGCTTGTTGTTTATAATAGAAGAAAATGGCTGACTCCGTTTCAAAGCTCGCTTCCCCATTCTGTACATGTCTGCACGGTGACGGTGCACATTTTGGCATCCTTGGCTTTTGTTAAGGCAAGCTCATACCACTTATACTCAGGAGGGAGTCCTTCCTGGCAGGCTGGTGCCATGACAGGGAACACAGCATGAGACAGCTGAGAGAGGGGCTCTGAGGCTGACTCATGTTATAATGGGAATAAGCTCCCTATGCTGCCTGCAGGAAAATGCCACTGAACTCACCAAACTATCCCTTAAAAATCTAGCAATGATAAAGGAGGACATGATATGACAAAAGGGGAAAAGGAAGCAGAACAGCATTAGACACTAATACTTCATGGCACTGATGCTCTATACTGTGTTATGAGTTGTCAAATAAGACTGAAATGAATGGTAAATCAAAGCACAATTAAAAGACAGAAACAGTTGGATAAATAATGTTAAACACCATCTGTTGTTATAAAGCTTTACATTAATATTGTCCTTATAGACCTCGGATGTGCTAAATAGTATGTAACAATTGATCATATGTTCCCTGAGTGCTGGTAATGTTTCTTGCTGTCTAGCTTACACACTGGAGAATAGTTGAACAAACAGTATGAGTGCACTACATAGAGTGAAAAGAGTTGGGCAATTGTGCCTTTACACGTTTTGCAGCTTGAGGCAAACTAGCCTCTATTTCTTACAGTGAACGAACAGAGCAGTGCAGTGACCATTCCGAACGAACTAAGGGCAGATGGGATTCGCTCATGGTCACGTACAGGCAACGATGACTGAGCCTGAGATTGACATTGGCAATCTAATTAGATTAGCCTGAACTTTCATCCTGAGGGAGAAAATAAAGCGAAGGTCCATCATAGCTGTGCAGACATTTCTTTGAACAGCTATTTAAGGGAGCAGGTCATTTCCTAACTTTTGGCTCCTGGACTGACAGGAAGATAAAGGACGACTTGCTCAGCTGCAGTCTGGTAACTGCATAGCTAATTATTACTGTGATTTTTTATGTTTTGAATAAACATACTGACCTTCAACTGGAGGAATAATTTATTTATGCACAAAAGGATTATTGACATGCAGCCATTCCTGTCAAATTGTGTTTTTCTTAGCTGTGCAGAGAAGGCTTTCGAAATGATGATGTTTAGTTGAACGCAATAAAAGCATGGCGATTATACTTTCTATTATTTCTGCCTTCAGAAATGTTTACCCTTTGCATTCAGCTTTACTTGATTTACAGAAGTACTTACCTTCATGAATATAGACACTATCACCAACCCATTTGGACTCTTTGCAGCTTCCGTATAATTTGTATACAGCTCATGGTTGTAATGTATTAGTTGAACCTGGGTTTAAGAAGAACAAAATGGGGTAAACAAAAGCATCAGCAATGATTCAAGAGATTGCAGCACTGAAGTACAGACTGAAAACAACATATACTGCTGAGCCACAATAGGAGGGTCTATACAATAACTTGCATGACTGTTGCTGCAACAGTCCTGAATAATTAGAACTGTCTGTGTGTTTCAAGCCTTTCTTGCGCCTAGCTGTGTGTTCATCTGGTTGAGATGCCAAGCCCCTGTCAAGTCAGGTGGCTCCGCTCCCCAATCACAGGTATACAGCTGGCTTCTCTCCTTGTTTGAACATGCCTGTCAAGTTTAAATTTGAATCCTTTGTGATGCACAAGTAATCTTCTCTCTGTGAATTACCTGAGCACACAGCAAGCCTGCAACAAAGGTCTGAAACTAAGAATTCGAGCGGAGGTGAGACCGCAATTGCTCGCATTCTTCAGGAGCTATGTGCTGGAAATGGTGTTGTAGAGAGAGATATGGGAGCTTACAGAAATTCATCATAAACTTCTCATAAGGAGATACAACAAACATTAGTCACTTTCATATTAAAACAACTTTCTCAGAGTGCAGAAGCTTTTCGTTCTTGCTGTTTTTCAAGTTTACAAGCAGAAGACCACAAGAGGCTTTGGCAATGTGATAAGTTATTGGTTTCAGTAGGGGTGTTTGATTAACCATATTTCCATCATCATCACAATGTGAGTGTCCCCAATAAACACATTGTTAATCAGATTTCATGAACAGAGCAAAATTACTTCACTCTTCTGCACAGTGTGAAAATGATTCATTGGCATAGGTTGGCAGTAGTAGAGGGTGGAATACCAGTTGAAATTCTTCCTCAGGTGTGTGTTTTGTCATAACCATTATACCAGTATGCCACAAATAAATGCAAATAAAGTAATATACAAAGAGTGCAAACCACGCTAGCATTATCTTCTTTAGCTGAATGGCTGAGTCAGGAGGATTTCAATTATGTTTTAAATGAAAATGAAAATGCAGCAGACTATCAATAACCTCTTGCTGTCTAGTTCACTGCATCTGAAATAGTTCACTTTGTTTTTGAGGCAGCAGACATAACGGAATGGGCAGTCTTTTGAGTTAGCCTATGCTTAACATGGACAATAGACCAGATGCCACACTTCCTCTAATACCGTCAGCTGCACATAACCAGCTTGTACTGATAGCTGGGGTTGCTGCAAGTAAGAGCTCTTTTTTCAACACACCAGCAGAAAAGCACATATAGACCACCGGAATAGCGGGAGGCCACTTCTAACCATATTACTTCTATCTATGGTAGACACTCAACCCACTAAACCAACCCCACATCCCAACACATAATTACACAAACAACACACACATATGACTTAACAACAACTTAAATTAACACAATAAGTCCCTCTGTCGGAAAGCGTGCACATACCATGAGCCTTTGCGCATGGCCGTCTTCATAGCCACTCCCCAAATCTCAACCAGTAACAGGTCGCTACATATTTTCCAAACTTCAGAATTACACTCTGATCTTGATTATCCTGTTTATTAACCACTGCATTTTCTGTCAATATCATACAGCCCAGCTGTCATGATAAGTTCTGTCTCAGTGCACTTTTCTGAGTATATTGTGAGTACTTTAGAACACTAAATAACTGCATGCACTGTTAGAAATAAAGGTGCTGTGCAGGTACATTTTCGTTCATCAAGGTACAAACAATGTAAATCTACCTTCAAAAGGTACAACAGTGGTTTTGAGGTGTAATTGTGTACATTAAATAGGTTTGTACACGTTTGGCCCTATTTATAACCTAATGTTTTAAAACAGAACAATAAAATGAAAGGCCTGGAGACGAGACGGGTTATGGTACAATTATGTTCCCTGACTAAATGTACCGAGATGTACCCTTAAGGGTACCACCCCAGTGATAAGGGGTACTGCCCCAGTGACAGTTTCATACCTTTATTTCTGAGTGTGCGCATTATAAAAAGACCAATTGTAGAGAGCCTATAAACAACAACAACAACAACAACAACAACAACAACAACAACAACCAGTGTACAGCAATTGCATAAAGTGCATAGTAACAAGACTGAATGTTGATCCATTGTGTCATTAACTTATTTATTTTTTTGACCAACTGTTTGATTTCTTTTCTTCTATTAAACAGTTTGCATTTATGCAAATGTTGGATTATAAGAAATCATTATACTCATGGTTTGTTGTTAAATTTTGTCCAGTCCATCCTGTTCACAAGCAAAAAAAATAAATATTGTGATCCATATCATACATCATGAAAATGTCTTGAAGTATCAAGTGAGGTTATATTTTTATTTGCTATATTTGCTGTATCGCTCACATCTAGACCACAATATGCCCATATCTGTGCACCCTCAGAAATCAGATTACAGCTGGAGCCAGAAGACCCATTCCTGAATATTTTCTTTACCCACACAATTTTGAAGGAGAAATAAATAATCACAATAAAAATTGTGGTTCATAGTAATTATGAAATATGCAAAAGCGGAGTCGAGGAGCGACAGATCGTCTATAAACTTAATCAAGGGTGGAGGAAGTGATTACTGAGCGAATGCTGATTTGATTAGATTTTTTTTTCTTTCCTGAAGGTGAAAAGCAGCCAGTGCTCGCTTTTCCCAAACTCCCACACCAGCAAATTGCCTGAGCTGGAAAACAGGGTTGGGCCACAGCTCCACACCGTGCCAAAAAGATCAGGAGATACACAGTGTAGAGGAGCAGACAGCACAATAATGAGTTCTGGAGAGGAGCACGGAAGCGAGGGTGAAAAATACACACAAACACACATACACACACGTCCGCACGCAATTATTGTGTTTGGCAAAACCTAGAAGAGAGTCAAACTCATCTAAGTTTTACCCGGAATGAGGCCGAACTCTGCGGGGTCAACTGCGAACAACTCTGGAATATCACTCTCTAACCCTCTCCAGCTCTCGCACATTTATGGATGTGCTAAGAGCCCAGATGCTCATCTGAATGGAGCCAGAGGGGCTAGAGGATGTGCTGACAGAGGAGCTGAACCTGCACACAGCCGGACCTGTCATTCAGCCAGAGAGGAGGTGTCTACGCTACGACGGGAGACAGCTTGTACCTCTGCTGGGCCCCCCCACCCGACAAGCTCTTTATTGTGTGATAGCTGGTCTGGGCCTGAGAATGGGCGAAATATGAAGACAGTAAGTCGATAGCAGGAAGAGGGGTGGACAGCGCTAACAGGCCAAATGAAAAGCGGCCGTCTGGAACCACCATCCAATAGCGGATGAATCAGAGCGTACGCTCATAAAGCAAATAAACAGACAGCCTGAGACTACAGCCTGCAATCCAATTTGATTACAGTAAAGCAGGCTTTTTGAATTAAGCTAGCCTGTAGACGTGCACGTAGCCTCACTCTCTTAGTCTGTTGTTGCAAGAAAGAACTACTGTAGCTACAGCTGGAATTGGCTTCAAAGACAAAGTGCTATCGCCTCCATGGTTGAAAAACAAATGATTACGAAACAAGAAGCACGAAAACAGCAGAAAAACAAAGGCTGATCTAAATGTCCTCTGCTCTCCAGCTCCACGTTTCCTCTAGAAGGAAGGTGTTCATTATTTAAACCAAGTCCTACTTCAGCATGCACAGGCTTTCATGCCATCTTGCAATAACTGCGTATGGGTGAAAACGCACAGACCATGGCGGCTTTCAGTGATTTCCTATTTATACTCAGCACTTTGCCATATTTAGCAAATGTGAAAATGTGATTTTAATGAGTAAATTTGCTCCAGCATCTAAGCACTGAACTGAGATGCTAATGTGTTATTTTTCTACCACTGATAATTAGAACTTCCTGGAAATATATTAAGGGAGAAAAATTGCTGAAACAGAAGTGTGGAGAATAATTATAAATACAGAATGTGATTTGTTTTGGTGTTAATTCATTATTAGAAGAACATCACATTCTAATTTTTATGTGTGAGTGTTTAATTTTCAGTGTATTCATGCTTTGAATCTGATACTGGTAGCGTTCTGAATTTGGACAAAACGGCACACAGCCACCTACAGCAGTGGTCACTAACTCTCCCTCTGGAGATTATCTTTCCTGTAGAGTTCAGTTTCAACCTGCATGTTGCACGCTTTTCCCCCTTAACCAACATCATTGACTTTTTCAGTGGAGTCTTTTACAGTTTTGGTTTAGTCTCATTATTAGCTTCAGGGATTGCACTGTACAAAAGTAAAGCCCTACTGAAAACCTGACAGGTTCATTCAAATAATGAGCCTTTCAATAAAAAAGTCTGAAGGACAGAACTGAAGTGCTACAGTGCAGAATTTCAAGGGGCAAACTAACTTAAAAGAGCTGGTAAGCCTGTAGTTTGTACAGCAATTATGCCAGCATTACATTATTGATAATCCAGTTGTAGTTTTAGTAAGTTTTAAGAGAATGTGACCTGTAATTTAGTAAAACATCAGATAGATGAGCTAACAACTTCAGTTAAATTAGCCTTTGTGCTAGCTCCAACACTTGCCAGAAACCCCATGTAAAAACTGATTTGATGTTTTAATTTTAAAAAGTTAGTAACCTGGTTGCTTCAAACATTTGAGTTCATTGATAACTCAACAATAAATTAACAGAATGTAAAATGCAGATTATTATTCTGTTAACTTATTCTTTGAAATTCAATGAACTCAATTTTTTAAGGGAAAGACTGATTTTACAGACAAGTTGTGTTGCCTCTTTTCTTTGAACACTTTGTGTTGTACTGTTCACAGCTTCAGTTCTGTCCTTTAGACTGAAGGTCTTTCTACAACGAAAGGCTCATTATTTAAAGCCATATTGAACCTGATGTCGCTGTGAGCTGCAGGCAAACTGCACAGCAGAAATAACCATGCATGACCACAGCAAAACTGACCTGCAAAGACCCACACATAAGACTGCAAACAAAAAGGCTTTACTCATTAACTGAACTTGTAGTTCCTAATTTAATCAGTTTTTTTCCCCCGACTGAAATTTCAAATTTTCTCAGACTTCAATTTTCAGTTAAGAGCGATTCTAAATCGAAACGCAAGTCAGTCAGTAAGAAACTTGAGCCTGAATCACTGACTTGAGTCCCCTTCTCTAGCTCTGAAGAAGGTAATTACATGGAGCAGTAGTTGGAATTCTCCTCAGGAAGGTAGATCTTCAGGAGCAGGGTTGCTGACATACAGCAAATATGTCAACAGTAAAGTTTAATAATGTTCCTCATCCATGTGCACTACCATTCAAAAGTTTGTAAGCAATCGTCATTTTGATCATTGTTGCCATATATACAATATCATAAACTAGATATCATAATAAAGACCATAAACTAGACACCAAAAGGTATTTTTAAATGTTTTTTCAAAATTTCAAGTTGGGAACAATGAGTAGTTCATTAAATGATTAATAATACTGTAATTTATTTATTTATAATATTTTGTTAATTAATTAGAGTTTCATTTTTGATGTTATACAGCTGTCCCTGTCATTTTAGACTAATACACATATACTGTACAGCTTTGTTCATCATTCTGGAAACAAGTAAAAGCTTCTTTTCCTTTGCTAGCTTCCTACTAAATAGGTGAAACCTGTGAAGTCGGCACATTAGAATTGTTCTTTACATTTATGCCACTAAAGGTTCTTTGGATTCCATGGAGGAACTTTTCAAAGGCTGCTTCTTTAAAGAACCATTTTGTCAATGAGATATGAGTGTGAAGACCCTTTTTAAAGTTGACGAACCTCCACATGATGTAAAGATTCTATATCTGTTAATGGTTTTGCCAGAATCTTACGTCTAAACCAGCGGTTGGCAACCCAAATGTTAAGAAGAGCCATTTTGTCTTTTCAACAAAAATCAAACCACCTCGGGAGCCACAACAGTTTATGTCCATTTCACTGAAGTGTGCTAACGTACTAGTACAGGCTAGAAAATCTAATAAAAATGAAAATCCAGACTTTGCTCTGATTTAAGCTTTAGCTTGTCATAGCCACTTTTTTTGCATCGCCGGCAGGAAACTTTTCCTCAAAAGTAGAACAGTTTCTTGTAAAATGTCCCTCAACGTTCAACTTTTTTACGAGGCTGAAGTCAGCTTCTTATTCGCCAGCTGATTGTTCTAATTTTCTTGTTCCACCTTAAATGGTGCCTGCATGCAAATGCTGCACAATTTAAGGTGGAACAAGAAAATTCAAATGAGAAGCTGGTGAATGAGACTCCAGCTTCACAACTATTTAGTGGTTAAGAGTTTCTCATTGCATATTAAACATATCAGGAAACTAGCTGAGTGCTTATAAATGCAAATAAGTCCATTTGTCTCCAAATTATCAACGTTGTACTAGCTAGGTGAGATTGTCTGTGTTGCTATGGTGACCAGCAGTCTATACACCAGTCTTCAGAGTTAAAGGGTGAATTAGCGGTTATATATTAACTCCAACGTTTTTATTGTTAAAACTGTGTTTGGACGATCAGCAGAGCTTTATTTTACTGCAAAGGAGGATTATTTTATTTTTACCTAAAAATCTAACTCTGCTGTGGAGCCGAAACAAGGCAGTAAAAAAGCCGCATGTTGCCGACCCCTGATCTAAACCAAGAACCATTTAGAAACTTTTATTTGTATATAGGGTGTATGTGTAGCGTGCACCTCCTCAGGACCAGCTCTGTTCGAAACAGCAGTGAAAATGTATTGAATTTAGGTGCCACTGTGGATCTCATAAAAGCTGGGGGGGCTTGTGGAGATGTGTGATAAGTTGTCTAATATAATTGTGTATTGTATAGTGTTCCTGTATGTTTGTGCTATCTGGTGATTGATCACAGCATTTTCGGCTTGATAACCGGCCGTGTAACCGCCGTATTACACCAGCACTCAAACATATCAAATCAAACAGCAATGATGTGATACGATGTACAGAGTGAGTTATATGAAAGAGACCCCAACAGCTCTCTGTAAATGTTCCTTTATCAATGGATCATGTTTACAAGACCACCTCCACTCCTATATATTCCTTCCACTACATGTGTGGTCATATTGCTTTAAAGATTAATCTTCTTTCCAGCCTATACAGCCTGAGAGATGTGGGAAAACTAGCTCAGCAGGCTTTGGAAGAAGTTTCCGAGTAACAGCTCGAATGTTTTATTGCTCATTTCATCAGTGGTGTTTCATTTTCGGCTAGCGTACGAAGGCCTGGATCAGAGAGCGGGGAGAGTAAATTAACCCTAAGGTGTTAGAGTGCATTTGCAGCGAGGCAGCGTCTTTCTAACCGAAGCAAACAGGACTCAAATGCAATCTTCTGATATTAGCAAACAAAGGTAAAAGGAAAAGAAAGAGGGGGAGAGAAATGTATTCCATGAGGCCCAGGCAGATATTAAATAAGGCTTAAAAGCCTGGTTGATTTTGAATGCAAAACAGCCACCATTGGAAAGATATTGATCATATTCACGTTACTTCGCTGCAGCATTAAAGGCAGCACAGAAGGCCAGCCGTGCTTTCCTAAGAAGCACTGCGGAAGGCCGAAGAAAGATGTGCTAGTGTCAAGCAAAGAGCGATAATGGCTTAGTAATGAAGAGTAAACAGACAAAGCTGGGCATCGGTGGCCGGGTCACAGCTTGCAATGCCCTGATAGACTGTCTCCACTTTGTTTTATTATTATTTAAATATCGGCTGCCTTCCACAGGGGGAGGGGAAAGAAATTATAATCATTAATTATGGCGGATTTGCCTGTCAGGCTCACGGTTATTTTGTTGCCGTTCTAATCGCTGGTCTTATTACTCCCAAAGAGAAATGTCAGGCCTGCACTGACTGGTGACTTTATCAAATGATGGAGGCTGCAGTGCTGTGCCTTCTAAAATTACACTGTTAGCTTAATTGAGATGCTTTACCCAGCTATTGTGGCTTTGTGAAAAAGCACTGTGGTCTGGATATGAACACAATCACCCATTAACAAAGGCAACCGAGATCATTTCAGTAAAAAAAATAATGGTACAGAAATGCAGCGCAGCATAAATACAAAAAGGTTTTGAGGAAAATATTCTGCTATGGCCAATAAACAATTCACTATAATGCTTGTTGTTCTGGGCAGGGACCAACAATCTCAAGTTTGTGTTTTTTAAACCTGATGCAACATACTGCAAGATAAACATCTCATGAAATGCCTTCCCTACAGTACGCCAGTATGTGCTTACTTAAACACATCATCACTGTCTTATCAAAATCTCATAACTCTGCTTTGTTTTTTTATTTATTGTTACATGACTGATTATGCAATCTGATCTTTATAATGTGTGAACATTTTATGATGAATCAACCAACAGAAATTGCAAAAGGACTTGGAATATAATTGTGTTACATTAAAGGGGAATTCCATTGATTTTCAAACTTTCTACAAAATTAGACTTCTTTCATTTAGAGCGGTTTGATGAGAAATGCTCTGCTCTAGAGAAACTTGCAGCGTCAGAATTGTTCAAATAGGTCAAACCAAACGTTTGAAGCATAATCACTCTAAAACTACTTCATAGAAAGGTATTCACTAAAATGGTTACCAATACACTGATGCCTCAGACATTGTCTTAAGATACTTTTGATGTTTTTGGTCTAAAATGTATTTTTTTTTTATCTCCTCCTCAAAGAGAGGTACAGGAGGTAAAGGAGGCTGTAAGGCAAAATAGAGCCCGAGGACAAATCATTTTTTTCAGATTTAGAAGTATTCAACCATTATCAACATTACATATAAATAACACTCAGAAGACACATGTAGATTCCTAGCACTGCCACTGTGAAGTAGTTGCAGGTGGTATGGCAAATAATTTACATCAGGGCATAATTAAAATTGATGATTTCGGTATATTTCATATTTTTATATATATAATACACACACACACACACACACACACACATACACACACATACACACCTATACACACACACACACATATACAGACAAATAAAACCATTTTAGATGCTTCCATAAATCTATTTTTCTAGGTTCACAGTGGCTCATTCTTGTAGAATGTCTTTTTCACTTCTTCATAAGAACCATTGTTAACAACCAAAGTAAGTCAGGAAGACTTGTGCAAAATAGTACACAACCGAACAATATATAGATAAACCCATGTCAACAGTGCTTTTTAACACTATCTATGCTGCTTTATGTTGTTTACATCTGAATTTCTATAAGGCTGAAGGCGGCATTTTATTTGTCTTTATGTCCGCTGCCTTGCAAACAAAGTGGACTAGTTCCTATGCAACGGACCAGACAGCAGGAGGTGACTGAGTGTCTGCTGCATTTTCATTTTCATTTAAAATGTGACTGTAACATCTCTGGCTCAGCCATTCAGCGAAATAGACTAGCATTAGTGTGGTCTGCATTGCTTGTACATCACATTATCTGTGCTTTTCTGTGGAACACTGGTGTAACAGTTATGACAAAATCAGTTTAACTGCAAAAACGCAAAGAAATGAGCAAAAAACAAACAAGAAAATACTGCATAATCATTACAAGATTTAACCTTATAGCTTAAGCCAACATACCTCTGAGGATAAAAAAAAATCTAAACTATAATTATGTTTCATGTTGCATTTATATTTTATGTGTATATATCGCTTACAAGAGCAAACTCAATACTGAGGCAGCTTTGTGTCCTGTCAGCTCCTGCTATTGACTACTGTGACATTCACTTTACTCTGCTAATGGCCTCAACAGATCAGTATGAAAGCTGAAATTTCTTGGGAACCATGTGGGACACTTTGATGTGTCTTGTGGTCCAGCCCTGTAAAGCACAAAGAGGGTTCTCTCAGCTTACCTCCCCGGAGAAGGCTTGGCCGTTGAGGAGATGCTCAGAGCCCTGGCCATCTTCACTGCCAAAGTGTAACCTGATTTCTTCCAGCCGGTGGCTGTACGTCATTGGTCCGCCGGAGATGTTCACCAAGTGTTCCTTATCCAATCGCAGCGAGACATGGCGGCCAGTGTTGTACATGGTCCCTCCCACCTTCAGGAGACGAAAAGATGAATGGAGAGAAATGGTCAGAGAAGCTCACAGTGAGGCACCAAACCAAATACAGAGAGTGAAATAATACAAAACTTGAAACAGGAGTCAAGTAAGTTTGTAGTTTGGTGTGTACATAACAAACCTCTGCCTTTTGTCTCTTGACCTTGTTGCCTGTTTACTTTGTACTACAGAATGAGTATGGCGGTGATTCACAGGGTAAGGGCTTAAAGTCCGTAATTAAACCACCGAGTGACACAATGGTACTGTATCATCAACACAAACCACTTCAAGTACAAAGAGCGTGGAACTGGAGTGGTAGTGAAGGCACAGCGAAAGAACTGGGTCTTCAAAGCCCCAGCCGGCCGGAATCAGCCTGGAACTGATTGGGCATGAGGCTTTAAGAAGAGAGCACAGTGATACAAGAGCCCTGGATAACAATCTTTATCAGTGTACATGTTTATTTATTTATATTCAGGAGTAGTTTCGAAGTGAGGCATTGATATTCCAAACACGACTCTAGAAAGGCTTCCATGGCTCTTATCTTGCCTTTTCTTTTTTCGCCCTTCCCTCTCCCTCTCTCTCTCTCTCTCTCTCTTTTTCCTTTTACCACTTGCCTTCAAAATGATTTTCCCTCTCCAAATTCCCAGAGAAAGAGGCCTGCCCACACATCGTAAATATTTTATAGAACCTCTGAAAAATCAATGATTTGAAAGAAGAGAGAGTGAGAGGGAAGCAGAGAAAAAGAGGAGAAAAGAGAGAGAGACTGAGAGAGAGAGATTGTGTGTAGATGAGTGTACAGAAGAAAGAGAGAGAGAGAACTAGCTCGAGTGCCAAAGGCGAAAAAGGGAGAGCAAAGAATGTGTGGCAGCACTTAAAGGATTACCGACGCGCAGAGTTACCTTGGGGTGTCGGACTTACCCAAGAAAAGGGCGAGACATTTTAGAAACCCTGAAGAGGTCATTTTTCAATGATTATTCATGAGCTACAGATGGTCTAAGGTAGATTGAAAACCCCTCATTGTTTGGTTCCAAGGTTTGAAGGGAAAATAGAGAGAGGGAAAAATGTATCTGTAGGCCAACTAAAGCTGGAGGGAAAATAACATGCTTTGTGCTCGAGTTGAATGAAGGCAATATAAGGGCATACTGAACATTTCCTCCACAAGGTGTATCCTGTGCATTCAAATATTGTTTTGTTACAAATACAACAGGTCTGCGCTGCACTTTTCCGTAGAGAGATTGGTCTTCAGCTTTTTGCTACGCTTTACATATAGAAATATTCACACTCATTTGTCTGATGTACTGCAGCTTACTGTACATGCTCACACACCTACTGATTGCACAACCTGCTTTAAACACTTCATGACGTATTGAAGTTCAGAAAGGACAAGCACGCTGAAAAACTATTGCACTTGACAGTGGCGTCTCCGTAATGTACAGCCATCTTGACACAGCTCTCAGCAGAAGACCAACGCAGGTCAGCACTTCATTGTCAGCTTCGCATGCCGTCGGTTTCTTATAAGCTGCCATCCTGTGAGGATTGTGTCATCAACTTTATAGCTCCTTCATCTTGCTAAATGCATTGAGCTGTTTGACTCTGCATCTCACAGCATAATTTGTATTAATGCATTCAAAATCATGAGAGTAAATGCTTTGCTGCACTTTAATTTCTTAACTTGACAGTTTTATGTATAACACCCCACATTGCTCTGACAACAATTGGAATTACATCGGGGAGCGGGGCTGTTTGCGACACGCTCAGTGTTGAAGATGGAAACAGTCAGTGAGCTGGTGAGCACGGCTACCGAGACCCCACGCTGCTGGGGGGATCTCACACATGCTTGGTAATTCACACCAGGCATTACATATAATTGGCAGAGATTATTAACTTGTATTAAAAACAGTTCCCAGACATATGATGTTATTGCCATTGCAATGCTGTGTGGCTGTTAGCCATGGCAAAACAATATGTGAGTCATCCACTTGGAGGCAGCTGACAGTTAGTATTATGATTTAAGTCATAACTGTATGCTACGACTGAGGAGTATGCCAGGTCTAAGTTGTACAAACATGATCACACTGAGCACAAGGAGTGCCAAACACTGTGTCTGTGGTCTCTACAGGACCAGAGGCCTTGTTTACACTTGACATTAACATCTGATCACAGTGATCAGGTTGTCACCAAACAAAAACACAGCATGTTTACATTTATAGCTTTTGCTTTAAGATACTGATCAGATCTCATTTGTTCATGTATATTAAATTTTTAAATTCAGGTTGGTGTGGCACCTGTACAAAGCAGATGGAGCCAATCAAGGCTATTCTCTGTTAGAAAACTGGTCCAGGGAAAAAGCTAATTTACACACACAATTTTCCACTTAGCTCAGATGTCATTGGTCTGCTGAGACATGTTAGTAGTCTTACCTTTGCTTCTTTAGTTTAGAACTGGATTGGTGAGAGTAACATTGTTAACAAAACACTAGAACTCAATAATCACCCAAATAGCCCAAATTGTTCCTGTAAAAATACATCACCTAAACTTCTTTCAACCCATTCAAAGTGCACTATGGTCTCCATTAAGGTTGTGCAGACTTGTCGATGTGGATTAGGGCACAGTTTGACTTACTGTGAACAATAAAAATAAACAAAACTGCAGGCAGACACTTTAGACAACAGGGTCTGTATTTACAGACCACCACAGGAACAGGAGTGCTGATCTAGAATCAATACTGATATGTGACAATGAGCGTCATAAATACAGAGGAAACTGATCTAAGGTCAATCCGGCTTTCTGAATACCAGCCCTGTTGTCTGAAATGGCCTCATGGTCTGGGTGACCTTAATGAAGATCTGGATGTGGTTTGAGCAGGTTTAGAGACGTTTTGATGATATATTACTACAGAAATGATTTGGGTTGTTTGGGTGACTATTGAGTTTAGAGCTTCTTACTAACATTAGCCTCATAGCTCCAGTTCTAAACTAAAGAGGCAAAATTTAGACATGTCTAGGCTCATTAACAACATCTGGAGTAAGTGGAAAATTGGTTAAATTAGATTTTTTGCCAAACTATCCATTTGAATGCTTTAGACAACATTTGACAATTGTGGCGGCACGGTGGCGCTGTTGCCTCACAGCAAAAAGAGGCTGGGTTCAATTCCCCAGCTGGGCGACCAGGGTCCATTCTGCGTGGAGTTTGTGCATGTTTGTGTGGGTTTCCTCTGGGTGCTCCGGTTTCCTCCCACAGTCCAAAGACATGCAGTCAGGCCAATTTGACACGCTAAATTGTCCCTAGGTGTGATGTCTGTGTGTCTGCCCTGTGATGGACTGGTGACCTGTCCAGGGTGTTTCCTGCCTTCTGCCCAATGGCTGCTGGGATAGGCTCCAGCACCCCCCCCACGACCCAGAAGGATAAGTGGCTTAGATTGTGTGTGTGTGTGTGTGTGTGTGTGTATTTTGTTGTATTATATTTGACATTATATTTAGCAGCTTCTGTGTAATTATCTGTTAAGTCTGTGTTTTCTAAACAGGGACAGATGTGCAAATGTAGCGAAGAAAAGATGACAGGTATACACTCTTTCTTCACCCACAGCACCACAGAACTGGAGACAAGCTTTTACGTAAAATCAACTTCGCAAAGATTAATAAGCCAAAAGTCTGATTCTGGTAAACATGTTTTTAATTTGTCGAACAGTGATACCGCAAATCTGCAAGCCAAAGGCCAGTCATTAAACGTGGGTAATACTCACTGGGCAGGTAATGATGATTGCATGGTCTGAAATGCAATAACATCATGTAATTGTTATGCTCTGGAGAAAGAACAATGAAATAAAGATATTAGAGAAGCGTATGATCTGTCAGCGGGGACTGGCTTTATGGGCACTGAAATGATCTGAAACTGTAACATTGGTTTAAAGAGAAAATAAAACAATTTACTGTGTCTTCAATGTATTATATGGATCCATCATTAAAAGATGAGCCTTGGATCGTGTTCAGAGCAGGTAATGATACAACTCATCACTGCAACATTAAAGATCATTCCACATCGTCTCATTCTCGGACGTAAAATTTAAGAACACTTGGAGGAGAGGACGCGCGGTGAGCTAAACAGACGTACAGAAGAAACTGCGTTCCTGTAAATGTTCTGCAGATCCTCCATAGAATACTCAGCAGTAGAGGCAACAATAAAGCAAAGTAAGACATCCAAAGTAATTAAAAGCTACAGGAAAAAAGACACAAGAAAACATCTGGGTAATGTCTCTTCACCCAGTACAAATTAGGCATCTGTGATTTCCATTTCTTTAAATTATCATCCATCTCCCTGAAAGCAAGAGTATGATACATGAATAAAAAATCGGGATCAAAATGGCATCCACCCATGTGGTCTAAAGTTGATTAGAAAACAACAGAAGGTCAAACGCTGTGGTGGATTGTTCCAAGTTCCTCGCGGGTCTTGCGGTTGCAGCAATCATAAAAACATTTTAGCACCATTGCCGGCATCCTGCGGCGCGCACCTGAATCAAGGTTAAAGCGTAATGTATTTGATTAAATGACAAGATGTGTGTGTTTTTTCATTAAGGTGATAGAGGCGTGATGCTGATGAATAAAATATCAGCTTCCTCCGGGTGCTTGACTCAGCCGAGTGAAGTCTCAGGCAAAAAGGAAAGATGAGTCCTCTGAATTGTCAAATTAATTTCCAGCTCCGCGTAACCTGTTTTTGTCAAAGCAGATGTGGGACGCTGTTGGGTGACACTATGCATTTGGAGCTTTTTTAAGCCCTGTTTACTATGTCAACAACGAAATACTATGAAACCAAGAGCAACATGACGAAAACGACACAGGCGGCGTGCTGATTAAAAGTTGGAGAAATCCTTCTGCGCATTTCTGTTTATTCCTTTGATGACAGTCGATAATCAAGCTGATATGCCTTGATGTCTTTTAGTTGGATGTCATTGGTATGCTGCGTGGTTTCCTTTCACAGAGTCTTGCTCTCTGGTCTGCCAGTCT